ACTGATCTCTGCCATCTGGAAAGTAGTTGTAATTCTGAGTGATCTCCAGCCCTCACCTGGAGATTGGACACATTTTACCTCAGAAAAGCAAACTGTTTAGAATGTTAGAGGCAAAGCCAATCAAGTTATATATGCAAACGATTTCTGTGTTCGAGGCAAAGGCCAATGAGGCTGCATATGCAAATAACCTCTGTGTTCTGACTGGCTATGGGGGGGGGGAACAGCAAACTGTTTAGAATGTTGGAGGCAAGACTCAAGCAATGCAGCTAGTGGATAGGGACAGATTCTGAGTGACACACCAGGGCGCCAACCAATTCTGGAGCGTGTGGAATGTTCTAGAGAAGTGCCACCACCATTAGGCTTTTATATATAAGGAAGATTTGAGGGAATCTGTTTCAATGAACCTGAAGGAGTGAACCTACTAAGCCCCTCAGTTCTCACTTGAACTTTATTTGTCTTGTAGGTGACACTGGATCCAAACCTCATTCCCACATCTGTTTGTTAACTCTTGTATCTACTGCCATTCATAGATCTTTCTAACATCCAGTCTCAGCTATCATCACCCAGCACTTATGCATCTTCTCTAGATGGCCCTTCCTGACAACAACCCCCACCCCCTATAAGTAATGGTTGAGGAGGTTCCGTTCCATTGTATCTGAGAAAGTGTGCCTGCACACAGACGTTTATATTGTGAATAAAACTTTGTTGGTCTTAAAGGTGCCATTGAGATCCAACTTTGTTCTACAGGAGTCCAGTGTCACTTTGAAGACTAACATAACCTACTCCAGAACAAAGCTGGAGTCCAGTGACACCTTTAAGACCAGACATTTTATTCAAGGTATAAGCTTTCATGCGCATGCACTCTTGCTTCAGATACAGTGAAACAAAATTTCTTCAGCCATTACGTACAGGTGGGGGGGTTAGTTGCTGGGAAGGGCTTGCATAAGTAACTGGATGATTGTAGCTGAGATTGGTTGGTAAGACCTGTGAATGACAGTAAATTAGCATACAGATTCAAGAGTTAACAAACAAATGTGAGAACCAAGTCTGAGTCCTATATGTAACGGTTGAAGGAAGTTTTGTTTCACTGATTCTGATTAAGTGTGCACGCACACAAAATCTCATTTATTTATTCAATTTATACACTGCCCTCCCCGCTTACATGAGACAAAACACATAAATAAGAGTTAGGACAACATAAAACCACCTAAAACAATTCAGTATATAATACAATTCAATCTCATAAAGTGCTAGCAGTAGCTATATTAATAGAATTACTTAACGATGGTGGTAGCACTCCTATGAATGCATTCGATGATTTCTCTAGACAGTCAGCTCGTTGATCTTTCCTGATATATTTGGCAGGCACAGGCCTTTACCCAGACTGAAACATTGTTGGTTTTAAAGGTATGACTGGACTCAACCTTTGTTCTGCTGCTTCAGACCAACTTGGCTACTCACCAAAACCTATTCCAGCATAAGATGCATCTGGTGAAGAGAGCTCTGACTCTAGGAAGCTTATGCTGAAATAAATTTTGTTGGTCTTCAAGGTGCCATTGGGCTCCTGTTTAGAAGAAGAAGAAGAAGAAGAGATTGGATTTATACCCTGCCCTTCACTACCCAAAGGTGTCTCAGAGCGGCTTACAAACTCCTTTCCTTTCCCCTCCCCACAACAGACACCCTGTGAGGTAGAAGAAGAAGAAGAAGAGATTGGATTTATACCCTGCCCTTCACTACCCAAAGGTGTCTCAGAACGGTTTACAAACTCCTTTCCCTTCCCCTCCCCACACAGACACCCTGTGAGGTAGGTGGGGCTGAGAGAGCACTTGACAGAAACTGCTCTTTTTCAAGGACAGGCCTGACAGAACTATGGCTTGCCTAAGGTCATCCAGCCAGGTGCAAGTGGAGGAGTGGGGAATCAAACCCGATTCCCAGATTAGAATCCGTGCACTTAACCACTACACCAAACTGCCTTTAAAGTTACTGCAGCAAACTACCCTGGCTGTGCCTTGGGAATTTTAGGTAACCTTTGTGCATCTTAAGGACTCCCTGTGAAGGGGGTTGCCATGATCTGGGCTATGCAAGCACGGCCTAGGAAGCCTGGCTAGCAGTGGGAGGAGGCTGGGCCTACTAATCCCTGAAAGCCTTGGGAAGTTTTGGTGCCGATTTTGACCAATAGGAAAGAAGAAGGCTGAGAAATAAGAGAAATGGTACAAGGGGAAAAGCTGTTCTTCCCAGAGGG